ACTCTGAGGAATGTTGAACTGGCTGTACTAGTATGCTAATATTTTATTGTCCAATAAGTGGCAATACTCCTTCGTCTTTGCAACACAAATTGGATTTTTTTTCTTGTGTATAATAATGTAAGGATTCAATGAATTTGTGATAAAGATTTTATCATATCTTTACACTCGTTTAGATAGTGAATTAATGATAATAATTTGGGGATATACGCCAGAGTGAAGACTGGTGGAAAATTATTAGTTTGGTGTCAATCAAGAATAAGCAAAATTATTTTTCATTAGTGTTGAAAGTGTTGTGAGTGAAAGTGTTGGGCATCACTATAGGTATTTAGATTAGAGCATACACAGTGAATTTGAATGTTTTTTTCTTCATATGAAGAAGTGTTTTGAATGTTAACTGTATATATGCTGATTAGTTAATGTTTATATATAAGAACATAAGAATAAAGGTAACTGAAGAAGGCCTTTTGGCCCATACGAGTCAGCTCCTATTTATAACCACCCAATCCCAATCCCAAGAATATTCATAATATACATAAGATATAATTTATCCTTATAAAGATAAAAATAATAACAACCCTTTATAATTCAACGCTGTGTGTTAGAAATACCAGAATGGAAACAACCCAATGATTAGAGAATATATAATATATATTGTTACACAACACATGTGAAGCGATGTGCGAGGAATTGTACTGATGTATTAGACTCGTTCTTAACCTGATTTCGCTATCCAGAGAACATTCGGTTAACATTGACGACACGTGGCGCTCCCAATGGGCAGGAGCATGATTATTATTATTAGCATCTTTATTGATAACATTTAATTAAAATTTTGCTTAATCTGAGGCATTCAATATAAATAAAATTGTTCTTCATTCTTTAAAATGGACAAGCAAATATTGGATAAATTGTTAGGATGTCGTCCAGTACACCTGATTCAATGAAATAGTTACACAGTTGGTGGTACAATAGGAGGGATAGAGTAACTTAATCGTATACGAAAGTTTTAATGTACGTTTAATCAACATGGGATCAACAGTGTATCTGCGTTTCGAGCGTGTGAACAAAATAATGTTATCGGAGACATCATCTTTTTTTTTCTTTTCCCCAGGGCTCTTGGGGAAAATTGCCTTGATCTACTTGCTTTCTCTGGAATACGGGTGGTATTTCAGTTTGTTAACATCTAGATACCCAATTATTATTGGACGAACAGGGATGAAGAGTTAAGGACTGGGGCCCAGTCAATCTTCCCTAGCTAGGGTTCGTAACCCGGATGAAATCGCTGGTGAGTTTATTATTATTATTATTATTATTATTATTATTTTCTACCACAGACGTGGCCACACATTTACAATGCTAACCAGAATATATACATTTTCTTCTGTCCTCCATGGACAGGGTGAGAGATTTGTCTTACATATAGTTCAGGGATTTATTGAGGTGCGGGGCGAGCAGACTACCACTACGCCATCTACGGGCTCACCATAGCCCGTACTACTTGGAACTTTTGTTCCCAGTAGCTGAATCTTAAACAACAAAACAGCCATCACGGATCAGCCCAGAATCTGAAAATTACTTGTGAAATGCAATAGTTTTATGCACCTGAAATAATTATACTCACTAACGTTCATTGATATGATGCCGACCCTGCAGTTCTCTCCATGTTCCTCCTCAGGCCGACTCTGAACAAAACCCACGACACCCAACTCCTTAAACTCTCAAATGGTTGAGTTTATCGTAAAATGCACAAGGCTTTTAGTCCCTGGAGACTCTAAGTGCTCAGTCGAAGTTCCCTAATGCGAGGCGGTCCCACCGAAGTATCCACCAACTGCGGTCGTGATGGCTTCCTGTAGTTACAGTTGAGGGTTGCAGCTTTGTGTTCATTCAAGCAAGTCTCACATCAGACTTCGTCGGCGTCATCCTTGTTCAGTGGGAAGAAAGGGAGAAGTTCCCGTCTGACTGAGCCGATGTAGAGCTTTTATTGAAACAATGTCCACAACCTCAGTTCCTGGCATCACATACCAGGGGTGTTCAACAACGCTCTCCTAACTATAATCAATCTATCCAACTTCTTAACTACCTTCCAAACTTTACCTCCTCGCACCTCTCAAGCCAACAATTGTAAATCACAAAAATTGAAAGTTGAGCCAAGACTTGTGAGTTTGCAGAGAAATCTTGAAAATCAGGAATCTAGAGCACTTTCCTCTCTGTATATTTGTTTAGAAGATTATCCACTATGTATATACCGAGGATATTATCCACTGCACATATTATAGGAGTTAAGAAAGTGTGATAATTAGCTGAAGGCAAATCAACGTCGAGCTAGTTAATATTGTTTTAACTGTAATATATTTTATTTTTAAATGCTTCTGAACCTTGCAAAATATATTTTCGTTTATCTAAAAATGATCACTATTCACCCCGGCCTCTCCAGCTTCACAACGTCACTAAACTGATGTATTAAATTGCTCGAACCTAACCTAACCGAGTCCCCAAGAATAGAAAACGGGACATTACGTCAATTTTGAGAGCCGCTATGATTTTTAGCACATCAGATTTTGGCCTTAGGGGATTTATACGTCAAAATGCGAAAAAACGTGTTGTTGAGTAGCCTAACGCTGGCGACTAAGGAAAATCTAACCCAGCTCTAGTATGATGGGGATCGCCAGTGTGTGGTGGTCGACCAGCTGCGCATCCACCCATCTGAACTGGTCGGTAGAGCGGCGACGCGATCATGCTTCTTGCAGGTCAGCGTTCGATCCCAAATGGTTAAATTGATTGGACACTTTTTCTTTACTCCACATATCCTCATATTTCTCACATGTGTTGCTACACAGTCATATTGTCTTAGCACAGTCTCTTCATAATTACCTTATCCTACCTGTAGCACAGTAGTCTACGTCCTCTGCTCACTCTCAAGGGACCCGGGTTCAGTTCCTTTCATGTGTTGCTCCTATTCACCTAGGAGTTAAATAGATATCCTGGAGTTAGGCAACCGTTGCGGGTTGCATCCTGGGGAGTGGGGGGAAACTCGATAACCCTAAGCACAGGTTTCGTGTGCCCGCGGAGGGGAAATAATCAAACACACAGTTAGCAATTACCAGTGCCTCCCCTGGCAGGGAACGCGGCCTCACAGGGCAGGCGGCTGGCAGTGAAGGCTAGGCGCTTTTTCAGGCCTCAGATGCGTCTCTCCATTCTGATAAATTATAGTAATTTTGAGGACGACTTGACTCTTGAATAGGTTAAACAGCTGCATAGATACGAAGTGACAACAACAAAAATAAGGTTAATCAGTCAACTTTTATTTCAACTAGTTTACATGCGTGATGGTATTTTGGGGGGAATTTGTAAACAATATCTATATCTATGAATGGAAACGTCTATCTGTCTATTCGAGGTTGGAGGTCAGACGCTTGGGATAGCTTCAATTTTCCTAGTAATTGCTGCTGGTTATGTGCCCAACATGGGTGGGTCGCTATTGATGTCAAAGAAAAGAGTGACAAGTGACAATATGACCCCCACAAAAATCTCCCAATACTCAATTTGACTTTGAATAAGTATTATTTTTCTGACAGGGTCAGTCAGACCAAGAAGGAATGATACACGAATTTCCGTAAGTACTTTCGTATTTAATAATACATCTTCAAAAGGCTCCTTCTTCCTTCCACTACTATTGGCGCGACTACCACAATTGCCAACAACAATCATCACCAGGCAGAGCCGCCCCTCACAACCACCACTGTGCTCCAGCGAGGCTTCTTCACCACTCATGAGAATGGGAGCAATTTGTGCCAGGCGGAAATATTTAGGGATAACGTAGCTCATGGCGAGAGCTCGTCTGAGCTCCTTCATGTTCTATTGTTTTGACTTTCATTGCTTGTTGTTTTGACTCACGCTTACTTGTTGTTTTGACTCGCGCTTATTTGTTGTTTTGACTCACGCTTACTTGTTGTTTTGACTCGCGCTTATTTGTTGTTTTGACTCGCGCTTATTTGTTGTTTTGACTCACGCTTACTTGTTGTCTTGACTCACGCTTATTTGTTGTTTTGACTCACGCTTACTTGTTGTTTTGACTCACGCTTACTTGTTGTCTTGACTCACGCTTACTTGTCTTGTGGATATTATTTAAGTTGTTAAGTAGCGAAGGTCGAATGTAACATTTATTTGATTATTGTGCAGTTATGAGTCCTGGTGAGTTGTGAGTATTGTGAGTCTTCTCTATCTCTCAGAGAGACAGAGATCGTTCAGTAGGAGAGAGAGAGACAGAGACAGAGAGAGAGACAGAGAGAGAGACAGAGAGAGAGACAGAGAGACAGAGAGAGAGACAGAGAGAGGGAGAGAAACAGAGAGACAGAGAGACAGAGAGTCTGAGACAGACATCGCTGGCTAGTCCATCTTGTAGTATACTGTATATAAATATCCGCTGTGCAGAAAAAATAGTATATAAACCAAAGTCAATATAAAACTGAGTGGCAAAGATTACGATTTTAAGCAGTAGTAGAATACAAACTTCGAATTGTGTACACACTCCATGTGGGAAGGTCCAGGCGGCAGAGAGCGTTTTGTAGTTTCCCTTTCCTTTGGCTTCCTCATCATTGCCAAACAACAGTCAGGTGTCAAATTACAATTTCACTTTGAATTGTGCATTATAATAAGCTAAGCTTTTATCGTATATACCGTTTCAATATTAAATAAAAACTTGCACAATACCAACCTAACACAAATATCCTTCCCACGTTCAATACATCGCAAATGAATTGATTTATCCAAATTTATATCAGTTCTTTCTCAGCTCCTGAACTTTCTCACCAATGATTTGTTTGGTCGGAAAAGAATTACGTCACATGGTTAGTCCGAGATTCGGAGCGGCGAAGTCCCGCTTGATCCGCTGGACGAGAGACGATACCTGGAAACTCGTCTCGGACTGACCTGGAAAGTCGGCGGTACGTTTGAGAGACGTGTGGCGGCGGCAGCCGTCAGTGTACCTTGGGACGGTGTGAGGGGAGGAGTGCGCGTTCATGCCGTCGTCCTCACCTAGTGAAATTGTTGATATAGCAGCGAGGTGCAATAAATACACCAAAAATACATCCCCTTCTTACAGGTGTATATTCATGGACGTCTAGACTTCTACTATGTCTATCAACGCTAACTGTAACAATAGATTTTATTAGTATTGGAGAAAGTGCAGGGATATTAACAGTGCAGTTGTGAGAGACTTGTTTAGTGCTTCAACATGCGGCGATTGTGGTCCGGATCGCTGCTGCTGTTGTGGTTGGCGTGGTGTTCTCCAGCTCCCGCATCGTCACAGACAGGTGGGTCTTCTTAATCCCCACCTTTGCTCTGTATTTTGATTTGTTTGTAGGTAACCGAAGGTCTTCATGCAAACAATAAAAACTTTTATTTTTCCCTGAACAAACAATAAGAAACGAGAAGTGAGCGTAAGAAGCATTAAATAACTTTCTATAGGACTGACATTTGTAAATTAAGTAGGCCTATAAACCTTAGACTTATTAAAATTGTACATCAATACTGAAATTATCAGTAATCACAAATTTACGAACATTTTCAGGTATATCAGTAGTGGAAATATTTGAGTAATTTATGAAGTTGCAATAACCAACGTTACAACAGCCTAGGCCTATAGACACAGCCTTAAATACAAATAAAACTTACAAGCCTGGACGCAGTAATATCAGGGCATGAAACGAGCAGAAGTGCAGCACAAACTCTGCCCTATTTCTACGGACTACGAACTACGGACACTACCCTTGTCATGCTGTTCATCAGTGTTTTCTTTTGTACAACATTGTCATCGTGAATGAATAAACAATATATGTGAAGAAAGAAGAAACTGTAAGAAACAAGACGGAGCGGGAGAGAGTGACTGAAGAAGCACTTTCTCCTGGTTAAGAAACAGTGTCAGTGCGCGTGCGTGCTGAGCAGAGGTCAGGCGCTCCATGCACTCTACTCTACTCTATAAATACTGAAAACAACAATGTTTACCACTTACCTCTACCGCACGAGTCGTCGGCCTGGAGTAATTTGGCGGTTAATAATTACCTGAAATTCTCGCCCCCCCCTTGTGTTAATATTATGGAAATGTGAATTGATTTCCATAATTTGCGCGAGCGGCCATCACCCGGGTGGCGGATTTAATGTTCGAGGTTTGGTCGGCAGAGTGGCTCACGGTGTTGACAATATTTATAGGGGATTTTTATCAGAGGGAATCACGGACATTACCACGGGTGAGGGGGAACTACGGATACTACCACGGGTGAGGGGAACTACGGGCACTACCACGGGTGAGGGGAACTACGGACACTACCACGGGTGAGGGGAACTACGACACTACCACGGGTGAGGGGAACTACGGACACTACCACGGGTGAGGGGAACTACGGACACTACCACGGGTGAGGGGAACTACGGACACTACCACGGGTGAGGGGAACTACGGGCACTACAACGGGTGAGGGGAACTACGGGCACTACCACGGGTGAGGGGAACTACGGACACTACCACGGGTGAGGGGAACTACGACACTACCACGGGTGAGGGGAACTACGGACACTACCACGGGTGAGGGGAACTACGGGCACTACCACGGGTGAGGGGAACTACGGACACTACCACAGGTGAGGGGAACTACGGATACTACCACAGGTGAGGGGAACTACGGACACTACCACAGGTGAGGGGAACTACGGACACTACCACAGGTGAGGGGAACTAAGGACATTACCACAGGTGAGGGGAACTACGTTCACTACCACAGGTGAGGGGAACTTCGGACACTACCAAAAGGGAGGAAATCGCGGACACTATAGATGCTAGACAGTCACATACGTTAACTTATATGCAAGGGGGAAATAGTAGTTGGTTTAAAGTCGTCAAATATATGAAATATTACCAGATTCAATATATAAATCTGCAAGAGATAACTTGACCCGCCACAAGCTGAGCCGGATCAGCCACTTTGTGATGTATATTTGAACTTCCTGCAATGATTTCTGAATGCTGAGCGCTCACCAAGAAAGCCTGGCCACTGGCCAAGTCCGCGAGAATACGGCCACAAATAAACGCGTCCCAGAACCAGGTCATAGAAACTGAACACCCAAATGAGCCAAAGACACCCCATAAAATTTACAATGTGAAGGTCGTCTCGCCCGTCCTTATAAACATAACCAAATGCTCGTTTATCCGGCAGCCTTTTCCTCTTTATGGAATAAGAAATACTTTACACATGACTCGCAACGGATTATGTTCGAACTTCTCTCGAACAGTACTCCGCTAATTTTTCTCTACTCGAAATAAACATCTCTAAATGCCCGCCCGTCCTCAAACAAATGAATGAAAAACGGTTTAGACACAACCCGTCCTCAAGTCCATTCTACCTAGCGGTTGACCCCAAAGACGCATTCATCAATTTTAACATGCTGTTCATCCAAAACAGAACGTTTCTTCAGAACATTACATCCCAGCCCGTCCTCCAAACAAAGACCCAAAAGAGATTCCATGCACCCGCCAAAGTCCCTTGTTTATGATTGAAAAACGGTTTACACACGACTCACAACTATTGACGTTCGAACACTTCCGGAACAAGTGCTTCACTGACGAATTTTGTTGGAAAAACAATGCTGTAAATGCTTCACCCACGTACTACAAATAATCGCCAATAGAACCTAAACACCTAACCTAACCTAACCTATGCCTATATATGCACAATATGCTAATATATTATAATATTAATTTATATTTGAGAAATTTCCCGTTTTGAATGAACAACATGTAAAAAATTATGAATGCGTCTGTGGGGTCGACCTCTGGATGTAATGGACCTGAGTCGAGAACGGGTTGCTTTGTTTAGAGGACGGGCTGTATATAGTGAGCCCGGAATTGAGTCCGGTTATTCACGATAACCTTATTACTGTGATATCTGGGTCAAAGTTTTAAATAAAAGTAGAGTTTCGTTCTTTTTGCACTGATTTAATTTTTTTGTTAAAACAAAAAAATTAACGTTATATTGATGGCGGATATAGATGCACAACAGATGCACGCCAAGATAATGTTATTAAAACAATTTTATTTGTACTGGAAGTATTGGATTTATACCATTAGGTAGGTCAGGTACATACAAATACAAATTGTTGAAGAATAAGGCGTATAGCGGTGAAGAATAAGGCGTAAAAGGAGGGAATTGAAATTGAAATAAGTTTATTGAGGTAAAATACACACAAAGGGATGAGGTAGCTCAAGCTATTCTCACCCCGTAAAGGAGGGAAGAATAAGGCGGAAAAAGGGGGGAAGTACATTCCAAGATTAATTGGGTGTAGTGGGCGTGGCCTTTTGAGCAGTGTCGCCAATGTTGGCATCTTCACGTTCCAGTCTTGTTCTTAATCTCATGGTGGGTAGAGTGAATAGTTCCGCTATTTGGGTATTTATGCTGGGTTGTTCTATTTTTATGTGGATTGCTTCAAGAATTTGTAATCTTCTGATATGTCGTGTTTTGTCTATTATACAATTATTTTTATTCAACATTTCTCTTGGTAGGGTGATGTCATGGGCTTGTCGCTCATGACATCACCCTAAGTAGAGAAATGTTGAATAAAAATACTTGCATAATAAAATCTCAGGATGTAAGAAGATTAGAAATTCTTGAAGCTATTCATATAAAAGCCGAACAACCCAAACTGCAATACATTTAACAAACTGCTATACATTTAACTGCTATACATTTAACAAACTGCTATACATTTAACAAACTACTATACATTTACTGCCGCCAGTCATTTTATGACCTATGACTAAGGCAATCAAATAAACTTCATAATTCCCTCATGTTTATTTTCAGTTAATACCTTATTAAATCTCGTGCCGCGGTAAAATTAACATTTTATTTTACATTAAAGTAACATTACAATTTTTCCGCTTACAGTTATGTTGTTATCTTTATTGAACAGTGTAGAACAGTATCTTCCGTTTTCCCAGCCACAACAGACATTTCACAGTAGCAAACTTCTATCTGTTGTTGGTTCCGGGAATGAGTGTCCCCGCGGCCCGGTCTATGAGCAGGCCCCCCTGGGTGGTGGTCTGGTCAACCAGGCTGAGTCCTCTATATTGTCTACTCATGAAAATATTTCACGCAATATAATTCATCCTATACCATCTGTACCATCATCTAGGCAAATTCCTTTATTATTATGTAAGTTCGTAAACAATTGAGGTCCCAGGACAGAGAAACAATACATTTATGCAACTCCTCATATTTCAGATCTGTATAATTGATACATAATCCCCAACACTCAGGCATTTGTGATAAGTCGGCGGATTTCCACTACCGTCTGTCACTGGGGACATATGCAAATGAACGCAATTGCATAATTAGCCACTTTAGCAGCGATTGAACTGTGAAAGTGATGTAGTGCCCTTCACTTCGTAACGCTTAGCAGGATGTACTAAGGATTGAGGCTTAGGCTAATCCCGTGCGACAGCGCTCCTTTAGAAATGACAAATATGAGAAGACTACTGGAATTACTAGAAACACCTGTGTATATGGATAGCCCAAAACGCCCAGCAGACAGCGCGATTTGCTATTTGTTGTTTTAAAATATAAAGTATAGCATCATCGCGCATGCGTGCTTCGCAATGGAAAAAATTATCATGTCACAATGATTTTTTTATCTCTTAGTGTTTCCTAACTGCAAATTTGTTAATGTGGTATGAGAGGATAATATCTTTACGGTATATGTTCTCTCTTTTTTTAACTTGTATGATGTCAACACGCACTTGTATCATTCATTAACGATATTCAAACGTGAAATTTAAGAGTTTCACAGTTCTATTGTGTGTTATATTCCAGTCAATTAGTTTAGATATTTGTTGCTCTAACATCAGTAGGCCTGTCTAAGGCATTGCTGATTTATCATTGTGTTTGAGATACTTCCATGACACTCATTAGTGGAAACAGTTCTACAACCAAATGTATTAAATCGTATTACGTGAACATTTGAATTACAACACACTCTTATCAACTGTAGATACGTGATGTCTTGTATGGCTTGTTTGTGTATGTTACTGGAGTTAATTTATTTGTAATTTAACAGTGGCATTAAGCTGAAGTTCAAAGGCACAGGGAGTCATTAACTCTGGGTTACCAGAGTAGCCTATCCATTCTTTAACACTAGTGTCATAATGATTGTCGGATAAGCAAATTCCTTTATTTTCTTTGTGGGGTTTTTGAGTATGTGTACTCGCCTAGTTGTGCTTGCGGGGGTTGAGCTTTGGCTCTTTGGTCCTGCCTCTCAACTCTCA